GACCAACAGTACCCCAACAAATGCTTGTACCCCATTAGGAATCTCATCCTAATGAACAATATGGTTTAGTACCCCAAGGCAACGATTCAGCTCCATTTTATTTTTCAAATATTGATGAAATTTGGGGGGGGGGGATTTTCATTAATCAGGCAAATGTAAAATTTAAGATCGAACAATAAATAGAAATAAAACCTATAGATTTCTGTAATTATTAAGTTCAACCCACCTTCAAATAATCCTTACGTAGGAGTTTGTAAATAGGATCACAGGTTTCTTATACTATTATGAGATCAAATGCCTGAGCAGAAAATTATTTCAGAGAACTTGAGACCTTCGTAATTCCTTCCAGTAGCCAAGATTCTCAGCGTTGCTATGAGTTTTTCGTGTGTGTGTGTGTGTGTGTGTCTGTCTGTGTGAGGGATTTGCCGCCTAACTATATTTTTTGGCGATAAACGGGTGGCCAATGTAAGACGATGTAAATGAGTATCATGGTCCATCTTTAAATAATTGTGAAAATCTTTTGGAAAATATGTTCAATAATTATCTTTTTTGTGGGAATACACACTTCTTTTTAAAAGCAACTCCTTAAACCCATAACTTTTCTTGGGAATGCAGACCCAAGCACCTATACAACCAGCAGTCGCTAATATGTGTATCATCCATAGAGGCATGGATTGCGAAAACCAAGTAAAACATATAACTACTGTGTTGACCTGAAAAAAAAAATGAACTCCCCATGTAATTTTCGTGGTGGATTTTCTTCATGAAAACTGGCTCCACGTGTGGGCAAGGGTGCGGAATAGAGTGCCAGTAACCTTACATGCAGAAGCGCTCTTAAACATTAATCATAATCGTTATAAACTTATTTGTTTTATATTTATGATGTCATAAAAAGTGTGAAACTTTCACAATATAGTATATTGGACATACTAATTTGCATTTACAAAAAAATTCCTTTTCATTCTCATGTTGAAAACAATTTTTCTTGGAGATTAACAGAGAAGCCTTACACAATCATTTGCATTTTATCTAAATAAAAAACTGAAGATACTTGCAGAATTTTAAGAGTAAATAAATATCTATACTTCAAATACTGGATCAATAAAATTTTATGTTCTTATGAATATATTTTTGAAAACATGACCACAAGATCTACAATGAAGAATAACTATGTCTGCAATCACAAAGAATATCATAAACTTTACATATATTGGAAATGAATAACTTCGTCTCAAATGATAATGGGGTAGGTAATCTCCAGTGAAGAGAAATCCATTAACAGCAACTTCCATCATCTGATGTGCCTGAAAAGAAAATGAAATCTGTTGCTCAGACACTCTCAGCGCAACTCCAACACGCCGAACACGTTTAAACACGCCCATTAAACAAAGACTGTTAGGAAAAATAGTGTCCCATTACAATCTGCCTTGGGTGTTAGGTCTGTGTCACACGAGGTTGCGTTGACGCACGTCACCTAACACTGATGACGTCAGCTGCTTCGACACATGCGTCAACGCTCATCGTAGATTTACACTGGGTGTTATGAGAAACGGCAAAAGAGCGCTCTTGTCGACGTGCGTAGTGACCACACCTCAACATCACGCTCAAGCTGTAACGTAAGTCAAGGTAATGCGCGTTTTCTAGCTTTCAACGCGCAAAGCCCGCTATGCGACAGCGGCAGAGCTGACGTCATCAGCGTTTGGCGACGCACGTCAACGCAACGGTCGTGTGATACAGGCCTTAGAGTTGCAAATTATTAGAAGAGCATTAGAAAAAATATTACAAAGTAAAATAAACATTAAAAATAAAATAATTTTGAATATAACGATTCTTAACACCGCACTACTATCAGATCTCAGCACTTTGACAGTTCTGTAGGCAAGAGGTGCATCATCTTTTTAAAACAGTAGCATGCAGTTATACTAGTTTTGTGTATAATGGAAATGTTTGCATCCATCTCTAACCATTGGTTTTCAGAATTTTGGATTGTTTGTTTTAAAGAACAACTGTCAGCTCCATGCCCTTGCTATTAACATACCTAATCGAGCTGCTCTTATCGTTATGAAATAAACTACATGCCTTTCAAAACTAATTTTACATGACAACATTAATTTCTATCACTGAAAAAGCATAACCTTGCAATGAATCATTGTACTAATTTTTCACTTGTATGATCAAACCCAATCATGTTATTTAAGCAGGGGTGCCCAGAGAAAACCAGGGACCTCGGCCAGTTGATTAAAGGGGGCCCCTCTTTCAAGCAAAAATTTCCTGCTCCCTCAATTCAGAAACAGAATTCATTTTTCCACGCATCACAAATAGCTTGGTGTTAAATTTTCATTAGAGATAAATATATTTTTCATTTCTTTAAAATTAAAAAAATCCAGGTCCCCAATTAAGTCAGGGCGACGGGCCAGCTGCCCCGTCTTCAAAGTTCTATTTTTTTCGGCGGGGGACACCTGGTCAGATTACATACATTCTCATCTACATAAAACACTGATCACAAAAACATAATACACTTTACACAAATAACGGATTAATGAAATTGGGCTAGGCATGAGCCCTTACTGTCATCAGAACGACAGGATGTAGGTTTAGGGGCCGATTAGATTGGTGAAAACTTCAGTCATTTAAATACCTGAGAGTGTGGACACAACATACAAACTAATTACACAGTAGAACACTACACTGATCAACTCTCACAAAGACAAACGTATGCAGCAAGGAGAAGGATCCACAACTATGAATCAGATTTAATTAATGGTAAATCTGCCTTGTAGCTATTTTTTTAAAATTACACTAAGGAAAACCTTCTAGTTGATATCTTAAGGAGGAATCTCGACACAAACATTAAAAAAAAATTAATAAAATTAGTCATTAATATTTCTTGTCTGACATGACATTTTTTGTCAATGAAAATGTATGCTCTAATTGACAGTGTCTGTTTCATATGTATCAACAGAATTTGCTAATTATCTCAATATTTGTTTATGAGAATTGGCCACGGTGATGTACAACAAATTAATTAATTTGCACAAAGCAAACTGCGGAGAAAATCGTACATTTGAATAAGTTGATGGCAAGTTAGCAGGTATTCTTTCAGCAGGTAACAAGAGACAAAAAAAAGTTACGCATGTTAAATAGAATTTCCTTCTCTTTTCAAACCTCCAATTTTGCCACAACTCCACATAGAGAATGTTAAATGATTGATATTTGGGAAATTGAAACTATTTTAGAAACTGTTTGTACTATGGGTCCCAGAACTTTCACTTCTTCCTAAAACTGCAATGATAAATCACGTGCCGTGTAATTCACCCATTTATTTGTGCATGTTATTTATATCATGATCTGGTGGTGCTGAGGCTTGGGGGCATCACATCCAAGGGCGTGTTCCACCAAGGTCGTGGGTTCATTCTGTGTAAGACATGAGTGTTTTAGTTATGTTGAGAGTTCGAATATATTAGGAAGAAACCCATGTATGACCCCATGAATTAGCCTCCTTCCCTTTCCCCACTAAACTGAGTACAAGTGACACAATGAGCCTTGAAACCATTGCTCTCAGCACACACTAGGTGCAACTTGTACTTGCCGTCTGTAACACAGTTTAAGCACCAAAGGGCTCAAGACGGAGTGGAAAAACAGTACAATGACTTAGGCACAATGCTTTGATGAGACTGGTGTGAACAAAGTGTTGCATCAGGAGTGAAGTTGAATGGAGGGGACATCCTAAGGATATCAATGTAAACATTGGATATACAACAAAGGTAAAGATATTAACATTTTTAATAATGCTGCCAAGTACATACATTTACAAGTGGATTTACCAACATGGAATAACTACACAAATTGCAACAAAAAGGAGTTGTTTAATTTCCTTTTGAGGATGAAGTATTTACAGAAACTTCCATTCCTTCCGAGATGGTAACCCAAATTACAGAAAAATGCTAATTATCAGGTACTAATGAGAATTGCAATGAATTATTGATTTTATTAAATAGGTACTGTTTATATGGACATCAAAAGACTGTAATTTTTTTATAAGAGTATTGGGATATAACACACACAAATTTTAAGAGAAACCTTTTGATATAGGATTGAATATACTTGGAAATTCTGAATTTTAACACAGTTATTAACATTAGTTTCTGTCATTCTTCAAATTACAATGCTGATTTTTCCTGCGGCTTGGCAGAGACTACAATCTTATCATAAATATTGTTTTCTCAACTCCATTAAGTTTTTAATGAGTGTGCATTCACTACAGATGGCTCTTGTTTCCATGAGAACTCGAAAAAGAAGTAACAAAACAAGTCTGACAAATGCCAAGTGCAGAATACATTGCGTACGTATTAAAGTTCGAATTTAAAATAATAAAAATTGTTTATGCATCATTATGCAGGAAAAATTTCAGTTATTTTAAGAAAAAGTGTGTGTTATTTTTCCACAAGTATAATATTTTCAGTGGTTTTTCTTATGAAGATGTATTTTGCAGAATAATCTACACATTAAATTCATTGAAAAGTTTTTGATATCAATTACTATGAAATACTGAAGCATGATTTACATTCTAAATTTTATTCATGTTAATGACGGAAATTGATTGATTTGACATACATAAAAATGGTTGTGCAAAAGCAGCAGTTAATTTCTGTCTTGATACAGCATATATGAATGGTAGTAACATGACAACTTTTTGCAATACCATAATCAAGACAATATGCTCAAAAGTGAAGAAAAAAAAACTTCCTAGACTACATTTGAAATTCCTGATATCAAAGTTCAAAAAGTTTAAATATTTTCTTACAATGGAATGAACGTTTGCACTAAACAAAATGACAAAGACAACAAAATCAAACAATAACAATACAAAAAGAACGAAACCAAGTAACAAAGATGGTAATGAATAGGGGATGGATATTAATGAATGTCATTCTTTTCCTTTTCACTCTACTACAAATCATTGTTCTAAAGATATTAATTTTAAGTTATGAGAAAAGGAAATTAGCCATTTTTGTTATTTTTTTCTTTTCATTTTCATAATTTCGACTAATAAGTCATTTTCGCTTTGTCTTTTTAAAACCTTTTTTGCTGATTCATTGATTTTAATACCATTTTAATGGTACTTGCTTCAAATAGTATTTACAAATTGCAACAAACGTTTTCCATAGAATTCCTGAGTAGCCTATTCGATTTCTTCATTCAGAATTTGTTAATGCCAGCCATTTCGAGTATGTAATCTAAGGTTCCAGAGATGACTACCATTGTAAGATGGCTGATTTCTTTAGGAAATCTGTCTTTAGTTATCCCGAAGAGTCCAAACCAAACATCTGGAAGGACTTCACTTGAAGTGTTCAGATGGACAAGTGTTCACTTGAAAGAAAGGAAGAAGCCTTGATTACATCAGTAATATAATTCAACAGGTTGATTTGTTCATCTGAACTGGTTTTGATCAACTTTTTAACGTCCTTTTTCTGTATTTTAAGGGAATTTTAATGATCATTTTTGGTGATATTTTAGGTCATCAAAATCTGCCCCCTAGTAATAAACTACAGACCAGGAAGATATAGAGACTCTGACAGACCAAGGAAATGGTGGAAGGACAAGAACACCTTAACTATAATGTGCAGGAATACTGGAAAGAAGGAACAGGCCATGGGACCTAAACCTTCCTAATGTTGATGTTGATGGTGATGCTGATGATGACCACATAGTAATAAAATCAGTGTGGTAGCAAATCTCTGCATAAGAATACAATAATTATACACATAATCTGACTAGAATTATAATTACTGCTTCTTTCTTGTGAATGTTTCATCTCGAGCTAGTTCAACCTGTTTGTGTAAGTACTTGCAGTCATCAATCAAAAACCTGAAATTAAAAAAAAAAAAAAAAAAAATTAAAGAAATCTTCCACATCAGACATTTAAGAACATTTAAAATAATCAATTAGTACCTGTAAAATAGTATAGGAAGACCTGCTGTACTTAAATGGAATAGTGAGTGAGCATCCACTATCCATAGTATCGGAGGAAAATCAATAACTTCGAAACAAACACAAAGGCCAGTTAAGACTGAAAAAGCAGCACAGCGCCACACATAAGGCTGTTGCTTTCTCACTAAAGACGCCCACATCAACCAACCAAGTGTGGTAACTGCTCCTACAAATGACAGTTAAGGAATGCTGTTACAAAAAAGATAAAATATGAAGTAAAATGTTTCTCTCTCTCTTTCTATGATAAAAAACCATTCTTGTTAGGCAAACTACTTAACTACACTACATGGAACCGTAGAATATAAGCAACTCAAGGCACCACCGATTCTTAAAGGGGCGACCATCTGGGGATCCTGGTTACTAATGGTGCCACACCCCTGGCTGAAGGCATAAAAAGCACTGTCTCCCTGCGATGTGATGAGACAAAGGCAAAAATCTTCAATGAGTTTTACTCTATGTATGTTTCATGCCCAAGAAGGGCTAAGAGAAGTGTTGTAAAGAAAGGCTGCTAATTTTCAAGAGGGGGGAATCACATAAAGTTCACTTGATAGCAATAATGTGAAATTATTTGAATAATTATTTACATTGTTTTTTATTAAAATTCCAAGTAAAAAAAACAACAAAAATCACTTAAATATCTGTTTGCTGAGAGAAAATAATAAATCTGAGTTGCACTTACCTACAGCCACATTTGCAAGCATGTTGTAACTGTAGTCAAAGTGAACTAAAGATAAGTATGTGACATGATGAATGAAGAAAATTATACAGAAAACGGACAAAAAAATTGCCACAAAAGTATATCTGCCCTGTAGAAGCCTAAAATAAAAGTAAAAATTAGTATTCTATATGAGTAAAGTAAACATGATCTTAATACTTTGAAAGTTGTATGAAAATTACCTTAATATCATTGAGAAAAATGAAAATAAAACCATAGAAAATGCACAGAAATAGTCCATTTTTTCTGTGAATGGAACATCTCTAGCGTGAAAGACAGCAGACCAAAACCATCCATTTAAACATACCTGAAATATTCACATTTCATAATGTTTTGTCACAAAAAGTTTCCGTAACAGAATAAAAGAGAAGTTGAAATTAATACATACAACTGCATATGCATGCCACAGATAATACATAGGACTTGTTTTTCTTACTTCCTGGCGAAATTGTCGAAACATAATGAAATGAGCAACCAAGTTGAAAATTGAAAACAACACTGAAGCTGGCTCTTGTAACCCAAAGATTCTGATGAAAGGCCACTGAAAAGATTAAGGATAATTGAAGATTCTTACTTCCAAGACACTGACATAAGTTTTAAAAATAAATTTTCTTTATTATACTTTTCCATGAAACTGAGGAACATCCCAAGATCGTTCTCTGAAAGAATTCACAGTATCCCACATACAATGGTAATGACAATCATCATCACAAGACCACATGTTCCGTACAAAAGGCGATATTTCAGATGCAATTAAAAATAATACTCCATCTGAAAAAATAATTTACTTCAGCAATCGCAAGCAATGCACAAACATTTTAATTAAAGTCAAATTAAAATGCCTTGCCTGTAGTGCAATTCGCCTTTCTACATGTCTGAACACATTTCTGAAAGTACACATTGTTGTCACCCGATGATGCTTTAACTTCCAAAACAATAAGAAAGAAAAATAAACAAATAGAAAACAGTGTGTTAAACGGTTGCATAGTTCCATGAGACATTTTTCTTCCTTTTTTTTCAGGAGATTTTCAAAGATTCACTAAGTAAGTTCTTCAATTACATGTCTGAATAATTTATACGTCTCAGACATTTGACTATACCGGCTAGCAACGCTTAAACTTATTCTGCAAAGCTTTGGTTTCTGTGTTATTTTCAAAGTGACATGTAAAAAATAACATTTTCGAAAATGAAAAACTCGTTTTACACTTGAGGTTGTAACGCGACACACCGTTTACTTATTCATTTTAGTCTTTCCTTCAATTACTTGCAGAATAAATTCTGACAATGTTGATACATTTCTTGCCACCTCCTTAATACTGTTAAAAAACATGTAGCGTTCAACGTAATTTTTCTTCGATAAGAGCGAACCGGAGTAAAACGGCGTTAATCAGCGTAAACGATACAACCTTCGTGGTCTTTCTCTAGTTTGTTTACATCTTGTACTTGGTCATGCAGTTAAACGTTTGAAATTGTTAAACGTTTTCCGAATTCAAAAGTAATGAAAAATATCATTTGTTATAAATATATAGGGTCGAATTTTTAAAAGGAAAAATAACTCTGAATCATGAAAATAATATTTTATTGAACAAGTCACTTTATGTTATAAATAAGGAATACAGCATAAATTTTTTGATACGCAGCTGTTTGTAAGCCTGTGGCAAAGGAACAACGCGAACATCTGACAGCGAACATATGTTGAATGTTGGCGGGTGTTGTGTTTTTCCCTATTTAATGAAGAAATGGATGTCTGTGCAGATAAAATAATTTTAAGGTATGCGATTGTAAGTTGTGAGTTCATTAATTTTAACGAATAACTTTCAGTGGACTATAATAAAAATTGGGAAATTGTTCTGATGTGGCATTGGATTGATACCCGTTTTCTGATACCCTTGCAATGGCACCATGTTGTGGGGGTAATAGTGAGTATTTTCATAAAATACGTTCTCTCGGATTTCAATATTTAATAACACAATTTAAAAAATGAAATATAACAACTAATGTATCAAAATATCAATAAATTGCACTTCAAAATATTCCCAATATATCTTGACATAATGTGTTCTTGAATTAAAGTGTGACCAGGGTGCAAATTGACAGCAAGGACAACATTCAGAATTTCAGCAGAGGATGATTAAAGAATGGATAGAGAAATGAATTCCATCTGCGCATAGGCAACACAATGTGAAGGAACATTAATTAGGATCTTAAGAATGTTTTCTTTTTTAATTTCTCTCATAGGCAGTCCCTCCCTCATTTGAGTACTTCAGGAAGTGAAAATCATAAATATGGCACCCATTATGAATTAATAATATTGTATCCCTAATAAAGGGAAATTAATACTTCTCCAGCAGGGAACATTGAACTCTACTGGGATGTTTCCTGGCATTCCTCTCTGTCAATTCACACCCTGAGTGTCAGGATTATCCATTGATATCAATTGTTTGAGAGTGCAATTATTGATTACATCATAATATTTTGTAAACAAGGTATAAATATGTTATCTCTTTGTCTTTCTTTCAACACAATTATTTTGTATGAATTTAATTCTATTTAAAAAAATTTGTCGTTAACAAGAATGATGTGACATGATATGTGAAAATATAAGTGTGGATGGGGTAAAGTACATGTTTTATCAAGGGAACAACAGTCGGGTGTCAGGATATGATTTTGTGATTTTGCCAAAAGGATTTAAACATTGTAATTGTGATATTGTTCTAATACTAATTTGAAACATTATAGATATTTTGCATTGACTCATATGGTAAATTATTCTGGTATAAAAATCAGTATTCCAATTTTTTCACAGAATTTTTTTGCTAATTTTTAGAGGTTGTTATATTCTTTGATTCTTGATTGATTTTTTACAATATGAGTTCTTGACAGTCTTGTAAAGAATAATACATTAAGACCTGTGTTTCATTTTCATTTAATTTTTTTGTGTATCACAATTTGTCATCTCTAAACTCATTATCTTCCATTTAGTACTATTACATCATATTAATACTATTACATTATATTTATGGTGTAAGGGGCAATCTTAATATGTGGAGGATAAATATTTTTATTTTGTTTTACAAATGTCATGAATCTTCATTGATCATTAAATCGAATAGTATTATTCTAATTCAGTAAACACCCTAATTTATCTAAAACCTAGATTTATTTGCTGTTTTCAAGTAATAAGTTGTTATTTCATGAAGGTTTGGAAAAATAGTATTGCTTTTGGTAAAAGGTTGGCTTGTGTTTCCATGGTATTCTCATTTTCTTTACCTGTCACATTTTTCTTTTTTATCTTGTTTGTTTCTTTTCATCACTATACCCAAAATTTCTAAAAGTTGGCTTTATAATTGTTTTGAGGTAGAAAAATTATTTAAAAAAATGAGGATGATTTGGAACTAACTTATGCAAACACAGGTTTGTAACGTCTCCAAATGATAATAACCCGATAATAAACACACATTGTAAGAAATTGATGAAGTTTTTCTGATGGAATTTAGGATGTAAAAGTGTGTATTTTCTGCATTTGATTAGATTTCTTAGGTATTTACTTTAATTAACATTTTGTTAAAAGTTAAAAGTGTAAATGATAGATTCATGAAAGATGTGTTGATATGTACTTGTGTAGAATTGTGTGTTGGAATCTTTTATTGAAGAACGTTATGTTCATAATTCTTTGGAAGAGAGATGAAGAGAAACACCTAATTATAGGATGACTGATATTCTAATTTACTCAGTTGATTTTTGAACAATAGACATTCTTGTGTGAAAAAAAAAGCAGCTGAGTCTGTTTAAAAGTGAATTGGAAGAAAAATTTATGTTTTATTAGTTTTGACATGCTAATATACTTATCAGGAGAAGCTGTCACTAATTAATAGTATTCATAGGCCTAAATCAATGAAGAAAATTATTTTTGGAGCTTCTTGGAACTTATTGTTTGATAATAATTATAAATTTTATAATTATATATAAAATTATAAAATTTGAAAACAAAATCCTCTTTCAGAGAAGGAAATGCATGTTCTATTCTAAGGCTTAACAGACAATCTCTAAACCAATTACCAAATGAAATTTTGGAGACAATTTTCTTCATTATTGGAAACATTATTTTGGAATACTAACAATGATAAATCAATGACAGGACTTTGGCAATGAAGCTTATTAAAAATTTTGAAGGTTGATGGATGATAACTTGAAACTATTTCTCATTCACAATGAATACCATGATTTTGTACTATCATTTTTTCTTCTTGGTGATTCTCAGTTGTTTGGTTCTGAAGTAAATTCTTATGGAGGAAACTGCAGACACTTTGTGGTGAATGATATAGCCACTGATGTAAAACAAATTGGTTACCTTTACTGTTGAAATGTTGATGCAAATTCACTCAGTGCCTATTGAATCCCTATTTGTATGCAGTTCACTACAACCATTCAATTGTGTTGATTTGAATTTGAAAAAACGTATCTACAAAAAAAATTGTTGTGATATCTTCTTGATTTAGCAAAGACAAAGATTTGATGGAAAAGACAGCAAGAATATGTCTCCTTAGTGATCAACTTCAAAGTAGGTTTGAATGTCAATGTCTGGGCAACACTGCTGGGAACATGGTGGAATGTTTCTCTAATATTATTAGAAAATTATAATGAATTTTTTGAGATCCAGTTTCCAAAACATGACAATACCTCAAAAGCCTCACCAAATACCTCAAAAGCACATGGTTGAAGGCGTTCAGAAGGGTTCAAAATGTGTTGTTAGGCCTTGATTTTGTTCAAAGCTTTCAAAGGGGTGTTCTGGGTATGCTACACCTTGTGTATTAAATCATTCCCCCCAAAATTTGCTGATGTTCATGCACCACAAGTAGTACTGTGGGATGTAGGTGTCGGGCAATAAGGTAGTTGCTATTGTTTTCTTCTGCTCACACTTACCTACACCCTCTTCTACAAGTTCCAGAGTCTGTGATGTTTTGGAAAGTTACAAGTTTTTCTTGCCCTGACTAGAAGTAGCAAGAATATAATGATAAATATTTTTTTTATCGGAATTCAGAATATAGACCATTATCCTCGACTATTTTAATTAAAAATCTTTCTTTTTTTTCTGTAAAACATCAGTGTTTCTTTATGGTTTTTAAATGTAATGTGATCTTTTAAGATTTTAACACCAATATATTACTAAGAAGTTTAGGGGTTTAAAAGTTTTTGCTGAAAGTGGTTTTCAAATTTATGACACGAGTTATGATATGTGTATATGAAATTAAATGAACCCTGCCTAATAAAGTGGTGAATAACAATTTGGGATTCCCAGGGTCAGAGGAGGACAAATCCATCAGAGAAAATTCAATCATAAACTGGAAGAATTGGAGTGAATGAAGCTTAGTAAAAAGTTAAAATTACTATTAAATGATCTACAGTCCAGATGAATTATACAAAAAATTCATCTCGGGCAAATTTTTAAAGCCAGGCATGATTATTAAGTAGAATTTGTAGGTCAAGAAGACAATTTTTTAGTTTTGCTCTGAAACTCTGTAAACTCTGTGTTTGTTTATAAGATAGTTCTGTTTTCTCAATTACTTTGTTTTCCTAGCAGTTCAAGAAATATAATGGGTTATTTGCAAGGTAGTGAACATGTTAAAGAATACAAAATTGGAATTTCTAATAGTACATACTGAAATAGAGGATTGATGAGAAATCTGTCAAAAATGGCAATTTGTTCTTTCATAGTTGGGTAATATTTGAAGATTTTTGAAAAAATTCTGATGGTTGGAATAACTATTTGTTTCTTATCTCAAAGAATGCAGTCTTTCAACTGAGCTGCACTTTTTGACCTTTTTAATATCCAGAAATTTTCTAATTTTAATTTTGTAATCTTAAAAGGCCAACTGAGATAAATAACATTTACACTTCATACACTAATTCAAAAACACCTCCAAATTTTTTCTTGAAGCTTTTATATAGATCATGTTAAATACACTGAATAACTTGAAAGAAAAAAGAAAAAAAAGGGGGGGAAAACCCACCATTTTATAGTAATTTTGTTTTGATAGTTTTTAAATTCCACGAATGTAATTTTTTGAAATATCTGTCATATTCTTAATGTTTACATTATGGGCATTTTTATAAGTTATTGTATTTGAGAGTATTTTATGTATGTGTGCTTTTATGTGTAATTTGTGTGTGTGTGTGTGTGTGCATGCAACAAAATAACAAGTGTTTCAAATAATTTCGTATGAAGTTTCTTGCAAAACTTAAAAATTGTGAAAATGACCTCAAAAACATGCTTTTTCAGAAATCCTCAAATATTATTGTCTCCAAAATATCTCCAAATTTTCCAGTGAAGATAAACCTTTAGGGCCAGGTTTTAGTTTTCTTTAAAATTCAAAGTTATATTTCTAATGTACTATTATGGGACTGAAAAAATTGAGAAAATGCAAAAAAATCTAAGTGTAGGTATGAGTAGCTCAAGAGAGGATGGGGCAAAACCAAATAGCAAGCCCAGACTAAATGCATTAGGAACCTAACTAGCACAAGAAAATATGTGCCATTCTGTAGGATCACTAGTTCAGTTTTGTCTTTCTTTTTCAAAGCAAATGGGCTTTTAATTTCTTATATTTTCATCGTGGTTGCTAATAAAAAATGGGTGCATATTTTTGCATATTGTATGGGTGCATACCATGTTTTGCTATTGTATTGGGTTGTGAGTAATTATGAAAAACATTTAAAAAGGAATACATTTTTTTAATATGTGGGTTTTGCATTCAGTCTTTCAATATTTAAGAATATGCCATCCTGAGCTTTTAGAAGCATTGAAAACTTTGAATATTTGTAAGGTATATTAGTTTTGTCACATGGTTCTATTTTAAAATCTTTTAAGAGATGAACCATTGCTATTTTTGTGCTCAGAAGTGCAAACCGTTTTCCTACAAAAAAGAAAGAACATAAACAATAAATGGAAGTCATCTGGCATAGCCAATAATATTGTAATATTATTGAAAACTGTCATGAATTGAATATTATTTTCTTTCATAATTCACTTATCAGTTACTGAGAAATATATTTTAACTTTCTGAATTATTATTTTGTACACACCTATGCAGTTGCGTGGACCTTCTCCAAAAGGTAAAAATACATAAGGTGATCGTTTTAATCGATTTTCTTGAGAGAATCGTTCTGGATCAAAGCGCTGAGGGTCAGGGAAGTACTGTGGATCGTAGTGAAGACCTATTACAGGAATTGAGACTGAATATTTTGGATCCACTGTAATTTTTTTCCCATCTATATCGAATGTGTATTCTGCTGTACATATACGATCAACACGAGCAACAGGTGGATGTTTGCGTAGAGCTTCTGCAAACAAAAAACAAGGGACGATTGAAAAGATTTCACAACCAAAATACAAATAATTCATGATTTATTAGTTTCAATGCATACGAAAAATATTGGGTTGAGAATTTAGGTAAGTTAAAATAGACGGGAGCTAATAAAAAAGTTTGCAAAGACTTAAAGTTTATTCTTGAGGTTGTTGTTGTTTGTTTGTTTGTTTGTTTGTTTGTTTTTGCCACATGTGAAAATAGTTTTCATTTTTATTTAATTTCACAAACAGTAAAAACGGTATGTGACATTTGAGGGGGGGGGGGCTAATGCAACTCCACTACTGCAAGTTCATGGGATGAAAAAATTGAGTCATTTTGTTAAAGGATCTTGCACTTGTTAAACTTGATTAAACTTCATCCGTTGTTAATAATTAACTATTTATTTGCCACAAATATTATTAGCCAACAATCTGAGTTATCAGGGCAAAATTTTGTGGTAAGTGAATGGAAATTCCTTCACAATTTTGTCTTGTGAAAAAGATTTCTGACAGAATTATTGGTTACACTCTTTCTTTTGGTATGATATATGCAGTTTATTTCCTGAAAATATTATGAAATAAGGAATGTTAAAATGCCATATAAATATTTTTATTGCAGTTTTGGACATTTTGATTGGAAAGACAATGTAATCTTTAATCTAATTGTTTATAAAATGAAGAAAATTCTTACCTAATAAAACATTTTCCAAGTAATTCATATCTTGAAGTGCCTCATAGGTGCAACTACCTTTGTGTTGATTGAGTACAGAATTCACTTCTTCGCGAGCTTTGGCTTGTATTTCGGGGTTGATAGCTAGTTCATAACTTGCGAAAGCAAGTAATGTGCTCGAAGTTTCAAATCCTGCCAGAAGGATGAGCAAAGCCTGTGCCGTAATTGTGTCTTCATCTAGAACATCTATAAAATAGGAGCACTATTGAATTGAGTTGAATTCAATAATATCATTTAATTGAAAATAGCGCATGCGAGAAGTATACAGAATTATATGAGTAGGTTTGTAAATGGATGAATATTATTTTTTTTAAATAATATTAAAACATGTTCCGTTATTGCATGTGGAGCAGAGGGTACATGCTTCAATTTCAATCGGAGACTGATCTGCTCTCAGTGATCAGAATCATATGGAAGTCTAATTTAGTTCTAGTGGTATTTCTAAGAAACTGCAGAGTTTTAAATACAAATAAATGGAAGCAATTTGATAGTATAATAACATTTCTAAATGAATTGTAATAATCAAGATATGTTTTACTCTCTGTGCTTGTCTCAGATTCCTTTTGTGCTGCATCTATCATCAACTGTAGAAAATCATTCCTTCGTTCATTAATCAATTTTTCACGAGTTTTTCGGGTATCTTGCACGACTGATGCTAAGAAATCCATTACCTGAAGGAAAGAAGTATGCTTTGTATATTTAAGATAAGTAATAGAACATGCAATAGAAAAAATATGCTTACTTCATTATTGAAGAATGAAAGAGTGATGTATTTAAAAAAAAATGGTGGTACTAGGAATAAGACCAGGAACAACAAAATGCGCTTAGCTAGACTTATGTCATTGAAACGAGCTGCTGTGCTTGCGAATTCTGCGTCAGGCTGTTTCAGTGAGTTGCATTGCACCCCAAAGGCACATGAAGCAATGACATCCATGGTGAATCGCCCAAACAACTCTTTCATTTCAAGCTCCACTGGCTTATTCTCTGGGACAGCTGAAATTTTTGTTTTATAACTATTCAGCATTTTTTTACCAGATCAATCCCCATTATTAATTGTGATTATCGATTCCAGTTAATTTTATAATTAAATGCATGTGTCAAATTAAACACGAATGTACTTGATATACATTTTAATTAGGATTTTAAAAATAGGCGTTAAATACTCCTGGTTCTTGTGGTGTGTGCATCATTGCAACCATGTTTATAATATGTTCCTTACGTTGGCCACACTTACTGTTGTAAAGAAATTCGCGTAACTGATCTCCGCTGATCTGAACAAGCACTTCCATTGCGCGAAGTTTGCCAGTGCTAAACGTGGGTGTCAAAATAGTTCTGACATGTTTCCAATGTTGACCTTCCAGATTTATCAGCATCTTTTCGACGTAAGGCTTGGTCCGTGTTCTTAACGTAGGCCTATTGGTGAAATGTTCGAAATGACGCACCATTACATCACGAATTAGTTGCGGGTCTCTGATCATCAGAGCTGGTCGCCTTCCTTCAAAGAAGCCTACAGAAACAAAGCAAAAAAAAGTTAATGTCGTGCATTCAAGGCAATTGTTTTTCATCTATAACGCAAAACAAACCGGCAACTCTGTGTCCTTGAAATTTGTTATAAAGCTTGAGTTGAAATTCATGGAATGAAATTCTGAACAATATTCTCTCCTTTAAATTCCCAAAGAAGACAGTCGGTGGCAGATAATACACGCCCTTCTTGTGCCAGTAACTGAACGTCCTGGTGAGGTGCCAGTACAGCAACGCCACCAGAGCCGCCGCGACAAGAAGCCATGTCGATGCCATGACCTGCAAGGTTATGCGAAGTGACACATCAGTACCGGGGAACACTGTTATGACAGCTGTCAAACACCGCTTATAAGCAACAGGCGCTCTACTTGCCTTGTCACTGCACAGCCGTAATCCCAGCACCTAGCGTTATGTACCTGAGCAGCGCTGCGAAGACGCGCTGATGAGGAAACGCCCAATTATACCGCCGACGTCACGTGGGAAGCATGTAGCGACTTGGGCGCAAAGTCGGTGACCTCGCCGTTGCACGGCGCCCGTCGCGCCAGGAGAAGGGGCTGTGTCGCGCTGCCCGCCGCCGCCGCCGGTTGTGACTGCGGGCCTCGTCAGCTGATGCGGCAGCGCGCATGCGCCGGCGGCCTACCTCCCACCCTCCATCTTTCTTTGTTTACACAACATGGCCTCACGAGGCTCGCGCGTGTGCCCTTTAACCTTTGCGGAAAATCGGAGCGAAATTTTGCTCGGATTAACAAGTGCACCCACTATTTCTCATATTTCTCGATTCTACATGTAGCTGGGAAGATCTCTATTATTAGAGAATCACTAGAATGAAAACTGGTTTCACCTAACTTCCAGCATTTACTCAGAACACAGTTGGCATTCTGGTTGGATTAAGCTATCTAACGATGCAGGTACAGTCTACATGGAGGCGTACTTTTCCAGCTGATACCCGTTACTCAGCATTCTCTAAGTAATACTATTTCTCACCTAGACGACACATACTACTGTGAACTGCATCCAGCGCAACACACGGAAGTCAGTGGACATTATCCGAGCCAAAGGTGGAATCTGCGACCCCTCAAACTAAAAAAGCTAGGGTCACTCTGGATCGTTGGCCGTGGCGACATAGGACTCGAGTGTGGACGGTGGCAGATTTGTGACACTAATTACGTAGCTGGTTGAAAATAAAGCGAGTCCCGCGTAGTGTGGAAAGGTCTCTTGCTATTTTGCCGAGAGACGAACATTCGGTGCTCGCCCTGCCCACAACGTGTCGGTCTTTTGCATATATCAAAGGAAGCGAAGATTCGCCGAGCACATCAGCTGATCGGGATTGGGCGAGCCGTTGCTCGCAACTTGGCGAATGCCGAATGTGTGGAGCCGCATTTACACACACACACACACACACGTACCAAGAAGACAGTCGGGAGCTTGGAGCTGTCCCAGTTGGTATGGCACCGCTCTAGGAAAATACCTAGAAGAGAGAAAACCCCCTCAATCCGACATGTAGGTCACCGCCGGATCTCTCGTTCCAGCGGAGGGAGAAAAGCTGCTACCTCTGGGATCTAATATACACTATACTCTCACGACTAATGACCTAAGTTGATGAGTGCGAAAACTAATTACTCATTAATTCGAACCAGGGGCGGATCAACCGATCATTTGGTAGGAGAGGGGGCATCATATATTTTTGTTAAATAATAAACATGTTTGTTATATTATTTGCTATATTGCTGCATATATTACTATACAATATTATTTTTAATTACTTAACCCCTACATAAATACGTAAATCAATTTCACTAGATAAAGGGAGGTAACAACCGAAAAATCTAGGCCTTGGGGGCGGGGGGGACATGGCCTGCATTTCGCCTCCACCACAAGCACCACCCACCCTGGATCCGCGGCTGACACGGACCCTTATTCTTATTCTATTTAAATTTCCTTTCCAATCCACCTCAAAGTGGCGAGGGGGCCCTGGCCAGCCTGGCAAGGCCTGCGTCTTGTTCGCGAGTGGGGGCGAGAGGAGCAGGGGCAAGCGTTGGCACGGCGAGGAGGCCCCCAGCGCGGGCGTTTTGTATCGACCAGCGCGTGCGGAGCGGGCCGCGCGAGGCGCAGCGGGATGTGCGCGGGGGCAGCGGCGGGCCCGCACGTGCTCCCAGGGCTGCCCGCGGCCGCGTGCGGCACCCCCCGTCCCGTCCCGTCCCGTCCCGCCCCGTCCCGTCCCGTGCGGACCGCGAGCGCAGCTGGGATGCAGCGGGCTGCACATCGATCGGACGTGGAGTGCCGCAGGGTCGTCACTACAGACAGGGGTTTAAAGGAATTTCCGGTTGTAACTGAAGCAAACGTGAATATGTATCTTTCTAGGTATATTAAATCCAGGAGTAAAAAAACCCGACGTAGCTAAATTACAACCGGACAATAACTGAATTGAACAATCTCCCTGCTGCAGTACTAGCGAGTTTTCTCTCTAGTGTGCGTTGCTTCCGGAATTGCGTGCGATGTCAATACTTGTGCGTTTTATGCCTTCTTTGTTACTAATTTGTAGTTGTATATTCCGTAAATATTTTATTAACTTGTCTTTGTGTCTTTATATGTTCTGTATAAACATTGCCACCGAGCGAAAGCTCATTAGCAGAAAATAAATATATTCTGTTCTGTTTTCCGAACACGATTTCATATTATTTAAACGCTCTCTTAATTCATCTACACTTTCCCTTTTCAGTTTCCTTTTATCCTATTTTGAACTAGTTAAAAATCCAAGCGCTTGAAAGAAATTACGAGAGGATTTGACGCACTGCATAACGTAGTTCATGAAAAAGCAGATGGGATAAAACAACAGAATGAGCTCATTGTGTCGGTATGTTCTAAATGGGAAAGTCATGGTGTCGTGTCATCTTGAAACTTCGTGCATTCGCGCCGCTAAGTTGCTAAGTGCTACCCATTTTCTTCTTAACCGTATTAAGCATTCATGTTTGTTCCATGTGGGTTAACATTATCTCCTTAAAATTATCTGAACTCATCAGTTATCCTATTTGTTTTAAATAAACTACATTTATCGTGGCTGTGGAGATAGAATTATTGTTCCGTAAAGACACACCAATCAGAAAACCACTAACATCCAGTCAATGTTAAATAACACTATAGTATACACATTATTATCGTAAACTTTTTATTGGCTGGCATAAAATAAATGTGGATGGACAAAAGCAGAAAACGTATGCTGATTTTTATTTACCGACGTAATAAATTTTGGGGCCAAAACATAAAGCATCAACTCACATGTTAGTCACCATATGAGCTGCTGAAAGGTGGAGTGGTATAAGTCAATAAAATTTCGATTTTGAGTTATTCCAAATTTGGATTGTACTGGTTGAGTTACGTGTTTTTACTTCACTTAGGCAGTAGCATACGTCTGTCTTTCGTAGTGACCGCTCAACAGCAGCTCTGCGCGGTGAGCCGAAACAGAATCAAACGACGCAACTCTACCTCTCAGCAGCTCATGTATTGGAACGAAGAACGCAACAATTTACCTTGCTGGTACTTTTGATGTCACGTATGGAAAATTGGCACCAATCCCCTTTGACCAAGCTTCAAAGAACTGTTTTCGTGCTTTTGTATCCGAGGTAGCTCTATAAAAGTACCCCTCGCCCGCGCTTTCTCTCATTGGCTAATCTCTTTGCCACATCTAAGCGGCGTCGCTCGTTCATGTGATCAGTCGTCCTGTGCAATGCGTCTCTCCTAAATAATTGATCCATATTTCAAACTGCTAATTCCCGGAAACTGCATAGGCCGCATATCGATTATTTTTTTTCCAAAATTTCCCTTTTTATCGATCCATGCATTTTCTCTTCTCGACATTTTTTCGAGCCCTAGGAAAAAGTTCCAATTTGTCGGAAAACGTTAATTAGAAATTAATATATTTTGTTTATTCTCAAATCTTATTTAAAAAGACATCTTGTTTTAAAAAGTATATTATTTTAATGGAATGTAAACTAGTCTAGAAATTTGTATGTTTGCCAAATAGCCGATTGCAACAATGGCTACAGTCGTTCACGAATTAGTGAATTGTATATGACTCTACGGTTGATTTTTTGGAGTGCAAAATTCAACAGTTTTTTTACAAAAAAATTTGTTATAAATTAAAACATTTCGGGTATAATTTAATGATATTTTTCAAATTTATAGGTTTTCTCAATTAAATGTAATTGTAAAGGGTCCGAAAAATGTATGATGATGTAAGGATGACCTCTTTTTTTGTTGGTTAAGACGGCTCTGTCTTTTCGAATGTAGTATTTCGTAGTTTTCAAGTAATTACAGTATTTTAAAACTTTGCTGTCACATCTTGTGCAAGAAGCGTGCAATAGTCGTTAACAAAAGGAACGTCAATGGAATATTCAGACACCACAAGCTCTTTACCTTCGACAACGATTGATCTGACTGTTTCATCTCTCAAATTTTTATAAATGGTCCTTCCGTCTCTTCTGTGGACGTATTGTGGCTGCGATTAAAATGTATGTGCCTTGGTGGAGCTATCCAACCACCACGCAACATAGAAAAAAATATGGGGCCGCCACCTCACTGGACACCTCACCTTCAAATCTGCGCCAAACAAGCCGTTGAGAACTTGGGTCAGTTTTTGAGGTTTTCCTCCCCCCGGGAGGGAGGCTTTAGCGTGGCTCCGGCGTTCTCGCTCTCCCATTGGTTCCTTCCCTTAATCCAGAACACTTATTTGAAAGCGCCGGAGACTCGCCCTCGTCATTCTCTCATTAGCTTCTCTTTGCCACTGAGTATATTTGTAGACACCACCTCTCTCTTGTTGACCATTCCGTGCTCTTTCGTCGGGGTACCCTATTACAGGGGCCTTCATTCATACTAAACATTCATTCATACATATTTTGTGATGTCGGCTACGGCAACAGCCTACCTTGACAGGACTCTGGACAACCTTTGATTTCCCTCTGAAACAGTCTTACAAATGCATACCTGCAATCTAAACGCTAGTTAAGTAACACCTGATAATCCTGCGACGGTACACTGCACATTGCTCTACCGGGTGTTTATTTTATCTTGCATCCCATGTGTGGGAGCTCCTGCTCTTGTTTTGGTGATTTGGCAACCGCATATCTTTGCCTCCATTCAAGGCAGTCGTGGCTGGTAAGTCGGGTCAGCAGAGGAAGATGTTCTGCAATGATTCCATGAAAATATCTGGATGTGGTAGTATAGTGTTATTTACCGCAGAAAGAGTTTCTTATTTTCAAGAAGAAACGGATATTGTTTCTTCATAGTCTAATATGCTTCTTTAGAGGAAAATAACTGTTGCGCGAGAAAAATACTGCGTAACATTTATTATTCATTGTCCTGGAATATGCTTCGCATCTATTTCCATACCGATCAATGACGCACAAAGTAGCCTGAATATCATTCTGTTGTTTTGTTCGGAGAGATTCCTTGAACGCAACTTAATATTTTGTAGAGAAGTAGATAATAAATGGCGGAAGGAGCCAGCCTTTTTCTGGGACGGCTGTTAGTCCAATTTTTATACAATAGTTGTTTACCTAACATGTGAGTGGAAAAGTCGATTAGAGAACGAGTACGAAACTAGTGGCTTGTAGCGGCAACAATGCTGCTGAACAAACCCCCCCAAAAATCGGTTTCC